AAATACCAACCATGCACCGATGACTCTCAAATTTATATCGGCAGCTGGACCTCTCCTCTCAAATCTAAACTCATATATCTGTCTTCTCGACCACTTCAGTTGGTTGTCTAACAGGCCCCTCAAATCTCACGCGTCCACACTACGTTCCCGGTAGTGCCCGCTCCCTACCCAGCTTGCTCTGCTCAGTCTTCTGTATCTCAGCAAAGGTAACTTCCCTTTCCGCTGGCAGAGGCCACAGAACTTGAAGTAACCCTGTCTGGTACTCCTCAGCTCGACTTTCAAAATACAATCACTGTGCACAACACTGACGCGGGAAAGGATTGAGGGTGCGAGGTGGGGATGGGGAGGGGCAGGGGAAAGTGGGGGTGGGAAAATGGAGCCAATTGTACTTGAACAATAAAAATAAAAAAAGATACAAAATTACCTGGAAAAAAAATAAATAAAAACAGGTGCTATCATGTCATCTTCCCCCCTCCACAAAAACAAAAACCCTCAAAATATAATCAAAAGATGCTTGCTTCTCCCCACCTGCACTGCTTTCAAACTACCATCATTTCTCGCCTAGATTTTTGTGATCGCTCTGTACTGGCCTCCCTGCTTCTGCCCTTGCCTGCCTTCAGTCCATCCTCACACAATCCCTAGGGGGATATTAAAGGGTAAGTCAGACTTTGTCACTCCTCTGCTCAAACTTGCCAATGGACTCTCATCTCATTCAGGTTATGACCCAACATCCTTTAAACATCAATTTTCTTCTTCAGCCACCCTGGTATATTGGTATTGGTTCATTGTGATAATTGTACCCATACTAGCATACTAGCTGTTCTCTGATCATACAAGGCATGGTCCCACTCAGGGCCTTTGCATGCGGGGAAGACCCAGGTATCTGCATGGCTTGCTTCTTTTCCTCCTTTACGTCTTCACTCAAAATCAGCTTCTCGCTGAGGTCTTCTCTGACCAATGGCCTAAAATTACTACTCCCACTGCACCCCCATTTTGTGCCTTATTTTCCCTCTTAGCATTTATCTAACATACTCTGTATTTTACTTATTTCTATTGAGACTGTTTCTTCCACTAGGATGTAAGCTCCATGAGTCAGGGATTTTTGGCTGTGTCTTTCTTTGCCATATCCTTTGCACCAAAGAAGAGTGCCTGCACATAGTATAAAATCAACAGATATTTGTTGAATGAATAACTGAAAAAATGTGTGATACATGTCGTAAGAAATAAAGATTATTAGTGAAAGCATGATTAACCAAGGCATGTGAACCTAATGTCAAACAAATTCATTTGTTATTGGGTTTTCATGGTAATCTGTCTTTGGAGGAACTGACTTAATTTTCCACAATGACAGGCTTGATTTATTTTAGCAATGTGGAACTTCAGAGATGAGTGCTCACAAAGAAGGAAGAGAGTAATGACAAATACAGGTAAGTATTAAATAATGTCCACTGTTTGCCAAGGTAGGTGAATAAATGAGTTTAAAAGATTATTAGTACATAGCTTACTATTCATAGAGAACTAAAATTAGAAATGAATAAAGTTAGTTGCTCATTGATTGAATTAGCAGTGTCTGGCACACAGTAATACATAAAGTGAGTTAGACTTGGATGCCCTCCAAGAGGGCTTAGTTACTGAAGTAGTTTTATTCCTCGTGATTCTACAGTATAGGCATAGGTATCCAGGCTTGTTATAGTTAGACTTAGAAATAAAATAAGGAATAATAATGAAGATAAAGTATCTTTAGGTCTAAGAATTATAAATCCTTAGTTGTTATTCCTTATTGGCTTACAGTTAACAAATATACAGACTACAAGCTCTCAAATGAGCTGTTGATGAAAAGGGCAATGAATACTAGACAGAGTTAGAGGAAGAATGACATAATGGAGAGATAAAAGTTAGGAAACTTGGATTCCAGCTCTTGCTATGCCACTACTGGCTGTGTGATTTGGGGCGAGTTATTTAACCTTGGTTACCTCATCTGTAAAATGTGGATGATGGACTGACAGGCTTCAATGATCCTCTAAGTATTATAACCTTTTTGACTTTAAGCTTAACCACTGTAATAATGCCTCCTCCCCACCCCTCACCCTACCCCAAAGATGTCCACATCCTAATCCCTGGAACTTGTGTATCTGTTGTTACATGGCAAGGGGTAATTAAGGTTGCTAATAAGATGTCTTAAAAATAAGGAGATCATCCTGAATTAACTGTTTGGGCCCAATATAATCACAAGGGTTCTTATACTGTAGAAGAGAGAGGCAGAAGTGTGAATGCAGCTCCTACAAGGTGGAAAAGGCAAGGAAACAGATTTCCTCTAGAGCCTTCAGAAAGGAACACAGCCCTATAGACACGGTGATTTTAGCCCAGTGAGATCTGTGCCAGACCTCTGACCTCCAGAACTGTATTAAATTTGTGTTGTTTAACCCATTAATTTTGCGATTGTTACAGCAGCAATCAGAAACTAATACAGTCATGATATGTATCATAACTAGCAAAGCTGGACTCAAGCTTATCACAGATGCAGGGTTTTAACTAAAAATACTATATTCAGGTATGTTGTATAAGATCTTCAGAGGCAGAAGTAGTCAGATACCATGAGAAGCTTGTAGAAATGTCAAGGGAGAGAGCCTATGGGAATAAAATTTTTACTAGTGATTCGTGTGAAGAGTAGAAACCTTTTATGAAGATAGCAAGAGAAATTAGAGAGGTGATACACAACACATGACTTCAGTTTACCTATTTATAAACTGAAATAGTAAAACTCTGACAGATGCTAACATGGGTCTTTAATACCCCACCATCCCCAAAGTTAAATAATAGAAATTTTATTTATTTTTAGAGAGAGGGGAAAGGAAGAAGAGAGGGTGAGAAACATTGATCGGTTGCCTCTTGCACATGCCCTAACTGGGGACCCACCAGGATGATGGAACCCGCAACCCAAGCATGTGCCCTGACCAGGAATTAAACCAGTGACCTTTTGCTTTGCTGGACGACACCCAGACAAATGAGGGACACGGGTCAGGGAAAGTGTGTTGATTTTAGGAAGCACTATCATTATCTTTAATGTCTGATGGTCAAGTTTCACAGAAAGCTCAGACTTAGATTAACTCAGACTTAGATTTTCTTAGATTAAGAAAGTAGCTCTGAATTTTAACACTGACACTCTTGTTTATGGAGGTTACTTGGGAAAAATGTTGAGCTTCCTTACTCTTCTGTCACTTCACCTGTGGTAAACATTTAGCTAGATGGATTTCCCAAGGAATGAATTATTTTAGATGTCTAAAGGTTTATTGAAGGTTTATTCCTTTAGGCAACAAATTTTCAATATACTTGATGAAACCATTTCTACAAAGAAACGTATGCCCTTTATCTTCTATATAAAATTTAATGGGGACCACAGTACTTTTTTTTAGAGTCCTATTACTAACATCAATTACATAGCGGGCTGTAAGCCAGTGGTGCTCTGGAGAGCAGTCAGCAAACTGTGGCCTGAGGGCTGTTTTAGCAAGGCTTGGGGGATAGGATTAGTTTTTACATTTTGAAAGGGTTGTTTAAAAAAAGATGAGACCTACACCCTAAGTATTTACTATCTGGCCCTTTAAAGAAAGGTTTGCTGACTCTTGGTCTAGAAAAAGATGTGTAGGCCTCATCACAGCTAGATTGAATGTTATGCTCTGTCACCAAAGCAAGCACATCTATCCTGGCACAGTGTCTGACAAGGTAGTTCAAATATTTGTGGAAAAACAAAGACTACTGGCATTTAAAATTCGCCAGTTCCCTGTTGTTCCATTCACTTTCAGGTTCCTGGCAATCACTGTATTTGCCCCAGCAGTCTCTCCCCTCTCTGCTCTGCTTTTCTAATTTTGGCCTGGATATATGAACTTATAAACATTCTAAGCTATGTAAAATTAAATTGGTTATGTGAAGACCCTAGAATTATTTTCCAAGTAAAACCCAGGTGGTTTGGTGCAGGGATTTGGTGACTTATTTTGATTGTCCCAAGTCCTTTTTATTTGTTTCTAGGTTCTCTGCTCTCCTTTGGAAAAGTAAGGTTGCAGGGCAGATGAGGTCTTGCTGTAGTATGGCCTCATCATTAAAAAAATTTTTATAATATAAAAATAGCATTATATCTGAAAAGCTATTCACCAAAATATTAAACTGAAGCAATATGAGTGCTAGGATTTTCTTGGAATATATATATATATATATATATATATGTATATATATATTTTAACAGTGAATACTCTTTTTATAATCAGAAAAGCCATTTTCATTTAAAAAAAAGAACAAATTGAAAGGATTATCTTCAACTAATCTCACCAACCTAACTCAATTATTTCCATTTAGCGTATTTTCTTTCATTATTTGATCATTTTAAAAAATGGTTCTAAGTATTGTGTTTACCGGTTTTTATTTTGACTCACACTTGGTTTGCCATGGGTAACCCATGGTTACTATATTACTGTAAAATAAGTTTCAAATATGAAATACTGCAGGAATGTCAACGATCGATATGGTGAAAGGTGACCGATCATCGCCTTTTTGACCTCTGCTCCACTCATTTAATACAAGTTTAGACGAAGAATACCCAACCTGTATAGTACTCCGGACCACAAAACCCCTTATTTCCCTTAGTCCTCACAACAATCCATGGAGGCAGGCACACCCCATTCTTGGGGGTAAAAATGACTTGGCCAAACTCATCGGCTCGTCAGGAGAAAAGGCTCTGCAACCTGGTCAAGAAAACAGGAGCAAATCTTTGGAGGCGCTTCTAGTACCATTAGAGCATTCGCTACACCCTGGCCTTTATGTTCCCTCACCTGACAAACTTATCCTACATCCTCCACCTCATCAAGGCACCCTGCGGGCTGGGGAAACCCGCAGCTCTCTCCAAAAGCTGACCCTCTCCATCCCTGAAGCCCCAGTCCCAAGGCAGAGAGGAGAGCACACAGTTCGCTCCGTCCCCTAAGCCGAATTCAACGTTCTGACCCCAGACTAACCTGACCAGGTCGGTCATGCAGGAGCCCACCACCATCACCGCTGCCACCTCCTCCTGCCACTGCCTCCCGGGATCCCCAGACGCGGCCATTGCTCAAAGAAGGCGCTCTCCAATCTGGAGGATGCCCTTTACCCTTTGTCCGACCCCGTAACCAGAGACGCCGCTCCTACGCTCCCTAACTACCCGGGCCTTCCAGACGCCTAGGCGGGTCGCCCACCTGAATGCCCGAATAACCCCGCCCATCAACTGTCCCCAGTTCTTCCAGGAATTGTCTCCCTGCACCGCCTCTCCTTATAAGGCCCTTGTGATAGTTCCGGACTCCGCGCTGCTCGCCACACACGAGGAAGGCGCCGAGGAAGGAACTTTCAGGCACTGCGGGGACGCCTTCCCGAGCGGCGGCTTAGTGCGGCCGGGGACGCGCACGCCGCCAGGCTGGGCCGCAGAGGGGGCGGGGCGGGGCGGACGTCCGGGGGCGCGCACGCATCGGCCCGCGGTGCGCGCGCAGGTCGGTGCGTCGTTCGGGGGCGCGCTCGGGTAACCTGTACCCCAAGTAGTCGCCGGTTACCGAACGGATTAAGTTCCAGGTACCTAGACTGGGGCTGGTGTGGGGAGGTTGGATCCCGAGTCGCACAGGTGGCGCTGAGGACCGTGGTTTAAATATGCCCAGAGCGCGCCTCCCGTTCCTATGGAGAAGGCCCCTGTTCTAAAGATGCCCTGCTCATCCCCATCACGCTGGTTGCCTCAAAAAGGAGACCCCAAGGCCAGGAGTTACTCTTTCTCTTTACCTAGCCTGCCCCCTGGTCCCGTATTAACCTGACTTCCTCCTTCCCGCTTGATGGGATCCTAAAATTGAGGAGAAGGGAGGGTGCCCTTTTTAAATGTCTCCTGGAGTGGGATGGTCATTCTTTGGGTCTTAGCCGGCTTGTTTTGCTTAAATGCTGCCCCTTGGAGAAATTCTCCAGTGTAACTTCCTTCGTGCGTTTTATGACGTTGACGTGACGCAGCTGGACGCTACCCCTTTCCGTTCCATGACGTCAGCAGGGCACATGTTTCCGTGTTTGTCATCCCATCCTAATTGCAACAAACTGGACAACGCTTTAGACGTCTTTGTATTCCCCAGGAGGCCGATCAAAGGACCTCATGTGACCTTATTTTAAGGCAGCAGACACCTGTAAAAATTGTCTTTCTGCATTTTCTTCAGTAATATGTCAAAATCAGGAAATACAAATTCCTGACTAGCATTGAAGGGAAGCTAGTCACCATAAATTTTTGCCTGTCTGAGATGTATTACAGTGCTGAGATGTGTAAAAGCGGCTGCTGGGGGATGATTCCCCCAGCCATGCCCCTGGCTCAGAAGGGCTGCACCAAAGGAGCATCATCTGTTCTGTGACCTCTGATTTTGGAGTATTTTCTCCGTCTCCTTTAGAGAAGTCACAACACCTCATGGTTGAAACATTTTAACACTGCATGAAACCTTGAACTGTCAAAAAATAGTATTTTGGCTGTTCTGGAAACAAAGACAGAAATTCGTTCCTTAAGGTGTCATTCTAAGGTCATGACAGTTGCTGAAATGAAATGGGTTGTAGGCACCTTTAATCGTAGTTTGGATTCTGGAGCAGGTTTGTTCCCTTTAGCATTTGACTAGTGTCATTGGTCAGGTCAATTTCAGTAGCAGTCTGATTTGTTTCTAGTTGTAAAACAACCATGAGTTTAAATTCATGCCATCTTGTCAAAATTTTACAAGATGTTTACTTAGAAAATTCACTTTGCTCCTTTTTTCTTTGGTAATTAAAGTTATGTTTATTTGAGAGGATGACAGTAGTGTGCTTTGAGAGAGAGGTCTGGGTTTGAATTCTGGTCCTTCTGCTTGCTAAGTTGGTGACTTTGAACAAGTTCATTAGTTTTGTGGAGTATTAGTTTCCTTATCTGTGAAATGGATAATCCCATGCATTAGAAGTTTATTCTTACTTTGTGATGACATATTGGAATGGTGGAGGGAGGCCATCTGTTAAGTGGTCTGAAGAGGAGGAGCTTGTTTTATTTTTACAGAGAGGATGATTTAGGTTTTAAAGTATAAGGCTTTTACTGACTCAAAGATACCGCTGTGTGTCATCACCCAGAAGGATCACAGTATTATTATTTCTTGAAAGATCACTGCAGTTCTCCCCTTTATTACTGTCTGAAATGATTAAAACAGGTACTAGTTTTCAACATTTATTTCAGCAGGAACATGTAAGTTCTCATGTGGTATAATATGGAAACCAGAACCAGAACATCATTTACTTGTAACTTGCCGGAAATTAACTGCTTTTGATGTGGGGTTGTCCTTTCAGATTGAGGAAGAAAATGATCATCTAAGTTGACTTATTCACCTCTGAAAGTAGAGGCTTTCATTTAGAAATCTTTTAAGAGGAATTCATGTATTCTTTTTCCCTGCACCCCTCCCCCCCGTGGGTTTCCAAGTAATTTAGATATGATTTATTGGTTTCACTTTTGTATTTTCAAGTTTAAGAACTTCTTAGTGCCTTACAGTCAAAGCCTTTTAGATCTGTGTGTGTTTGTGTTGCTGAGTATCTGGCTAGGTGTATGTTTTCATGATTTAATTGTTAAGTAGATTTTCGCTACATCTATTCCTCAGGTATGCTGTCCTCTACCAAATTTTTTGAGGGCAGATTCTCTCCACACATAAGTATTTCTCTAGCTTTTGTCTCCTTGTTCATTTATTTATTTAAAAATGTTCATTGGGTGTTTAGTTTGAGATCTCTCCCCAGGAAAGAGATCACTAAACAGGTGGTTATGATACACTGTGCAGGGATAGTTATGAAGAGAAGTGTATCAGAAGAAAATAATTTCTAGTAAGTAACAATGGTAAGCAAGTTATGCTTGTTCTAGGTTTTTAAATAGTGTTATCAGCAACGTTCTTACTCACAGGAGGAGGATTCCTAACCTAGTGGTAGGTGGGTTTTGTGTGCTAGAGGGAGAGGATCGTCAGTGAAGGCCCCTGAAGGCCTCAACTAAAGTGGAATCTGCCAGTTGTAAAACGGAATGGGGCGGTTTTAAGTGGAGTGTGGCAGTATAGAGATCAGCTTTGGAAAGGAGGCGGGAATTGGATTTCAAGGGTTTCCACTGTGTAGCCCAGGTCCCAGGTAGGTGAGTAGCCGGGAGATGGTTTCATTGGGAGAGGCTGCTTAAGACAGGAAATGAGGCATTGTATTTATTCCTGCAAGAGAAACTTCTGTGTGCTGTGCCAGTTTTCAGGAAGCTTGTTACATGGAGTTCTTTTGGATACTCTGATCACCATTCTTTCCTTCTGCTTTCAGTGGTGATTTACAAGTCAAGTTAAAATGTCCCCAGAAGTGGCCTTGAACCGAATTTCTCCAATGCTCTCCCCATTCATATCTAGTGTGGTCCGCAATGGAAAAGTGGGACTGGATGCAACAAACTGTTTGAGGATAACTGACTTGAAATCTGGGTATGTAACAGAACCAATCCAACCTTTACCTAAGGAAAAGTCTTTTCTGCCAGACTCATAAAAATGGGCCACAGAAATTCATCAAGTCATGATTTTATCACATGTTGATTCAGTTGGTTTTGTCCAGTTCTCGACATTTTATGTTTTAAGTTGTTTAATTTGTGTTGTGGGCCATTCCTTTATGATCATTGCTTTGTGTCTTTTTGCCGGGGGGCAGGAGGGAGCATATATCTTTGTTAACAGGATGCCATGTTGTGTTTGGCAATGGTATTTTTCATTCATTGATTCATTTTCTAGTCATGTCTTCTGTAATCCAGTATGCACTATAAGAATTGGGTTTTGAGATTCTGAATTTGACATCATTTGATAATCTCTCCTAATAGGAAAATTATAATAGGTAGTGCAAATAAGTCATTTTTCATAATGGGGTTAAAATGGTAACGTCTCATGCCTACAGAAGTTGCATTTAAAAAAAACTCAAATTTTATTTTGAAATAAATTTAGATTTACACAAAATTTACAAAAATTCTACAGAAAATTAATATTGGTACCATACTGTTAATTTTTCTACAAGCCTTATTTGAATTTTGCCAGTTTCCCCATTAATGTCCTTTTTTGGTCCAGGATCTCCAGGATATAAACTGTATTAGTTGTCATGTCTTCTTAGTCTACCCAACCTGTGACAGTACCTGTCTTTGTCTTTCATGATTTTAAGAATAGCACTGGTTAGTTATCTTATAAAATGTCACTCAGTACGGCTTTGTCTAATGTTTTCTCTTTATTAGAGGGAGAAATAAAAAAAAAGAAGAAATAAATTTTTTGCAAGAGTACTACAGAAATGATGTTATACCATTTTCAGTGCATCACATCAGGGAGTACATGATGTTCATATATCTTGTTGCTGGTATGCTAACTTCGGCCACTTGGTTAAGATTGTGTATTCCAGGTTTCTTCTCTCTAAAGTTAAGTGTTTTTCCCTTTGTAAGTATCGAGTATCGTATAGAATGATGCTTTGAGACTGTGTAGATGTTCTGTTTCTCACATACTTTTGTCCATTGATTTCTGCATCTACTGATGGTTCTTAAGAATGATTTTCTGTTTCCTTACTCCTTCCACACGCATTAATTTCAGTTCTACTATAAAGAAGTGCTATCCCTTCTCTCCCGATTATTTATTTATTCAGGTATTTATTTATATCAGTATGGACTTTTATGTATTTTATCCCATGGGTTATAATCCAGATACTGTCTTCACTTATTTTATGACTCAGTGGGCTTAGCCTTTGTCATTAGGAGCTCTGTCAAGTTGGCTTTTGTGTCCTTTTGACGTATCTCCATAATTTTTGAGTACTTTCTTACTAGAAATGTTACATTCTTGATTCTCTATAGCTTTTCTTTTTAGGCTCTTAGCTTTTTGCCTCCTACAAATGATGCTATTTTTTGACTTAGCTAAAGACCTGGATATAAGGATATAGACTTACACTCTTTAGTAGTGAGATAAAGAAGACCAAGTTGGTTGGACATGTCATTAGAATAGTAGGATTCTTTTTAAAAGATCTGGGTTGCCTTCAATTTAATTAATCAATAGGAATGGGGTTTTTCTGGGGTGGTGAAAATGTTCTAAAATTAGGTAGTGGTGATGGTTATACAACTCTGTATAT